GGTACTCTCATATATGCTCTTAATCTGATACAGCCTTTTCTAGGAATAATTAGTAGAAGTTCCCCCACCCCATATAGTAAAAGTGTCTTTCATATCCTCTCACTAAGGGTGGTCACCAGACTATTATTCTCAATTCTTCATAATATCTCTGTTACAAAATTATACATTCATACCCCTTGTCTTGACCTAAGGCTTGGCCACATGATTTGTTTTGGTTAATGAGATGTTAAAAGACTCGATGCCGGCAGAGGCTGACAATGTGTTTTGGTAGTCTGGCCTGTTTCTTGCATTCCGGTTATAAGCCATGAAATGAGTATGCCCCAGGTAGCTACTGCCCCTTCATCCCTTCATGCTAGGTCTCAGGATGAACACATCTGGAGTGGATCTCACCCTACCCACAGCCTGGTGGCAGGGCCAGCCAACCCATGGACTGAAGCACATGTGTCTGGCCAAGCCCAGCCTTGATCAAGAGAACTCCAGGTGATCTTAGTCTCAATGTGAAAATAAATATTTAGTGTTATAAGCCCCTCATTAAAATACTAGTTTGTTATATACAGAACTGTTATGGCAATAGCTGACCAATACACCGAGTAATCTCACACCAAAGAATTTATCCTAATGCAATCACAAAGAAACAGATTCACCTTTATACAAAGGTGTTTATTATAGCAATATTTATATTAGTGAAAAACTGGAGAACATCCTATTATCAGCTAAAGGAGGAATAGTGAAATAAACTATGATCTAGCTAGACTATTAAATATTTGAAGCTATTAAATATCATGTTTTTAAAGAACACTCAAAACTGTAAGATGTTCATACTTCAAATTTAAAAAGCACAGAAAACAAGATGTACTGTTTTTAAAAATTATCTACAAGCAGAGAAAAAGATCAGATGGGTTAAATAATTCATTTAAAAAAAATACAAATGCTTTTCCATGCTAAATATTATCTTATGCTAAATATTATACTAAGTACTATACTCAGAATAAAGTAAGACGAACATATTCCCTGACTTCCAGAAAATCACAGTCTAGTGAAGAAGACAGATATTTTTAAAAATAACCACATACCTGTAATTACAAATTGTAATAAGCTACTGTGGCAGAAATTACTAATTATCCCCAGTATTTATTCCCCCTTCTCACTCAATATCAGAGTCCCTGAGTTTTATCTGCTGGTGGCCACCTGGAATAGACTACACTTCTGACCTTCCTTGCCCTTAGTAGACTTAAGTTCTAACCAACGGGATCTAATTAGAAGTGGCACACGCAACTTCCAGTAAACATCCTTAAAAATAAAGGGCTTGCTCTTCATTGCTTTTCCCACTTCTTACCAGATGGAGCAGCTATTTTGGAATGTGATGTGGAAGCTTCGTGCTGAGAATGGCAGGGCAACAGAATAGGAGGAGCCTGGGTTCCCTGACACTGTGGACCACTATCACCAGCCAAAGTCCTTCTATAGAACTTTCACATGAGAGATATAAAATTCTACCTGGTTTAAGCCATTTTCACTTGCGAGTTTTTAGTCATTCACAGCTGAACCTAATCCTAGATGGCATGGCCATCAGAGAAAAATGAAAGGTTCAATGAGAGATTATTATAGAAATAGCTGATTTTGACAGGAGGAAGGGGTTGCAGAAGTAGGCCTTCTGAGGAAGTAACATTTAAGCTGCTACCCGAGGCCTGGCCAGGAGAGCACCAGGTGAAGGGAGATGGGGTGGCAAAGTGTTCAAGGCAGAGGAAATAAAAAATGCAACTGCCATGGCTTGAGCCTGAATCACCACAGCGAAAAGCAACATACTTTGGGATGGTAAGATTGCTTCCGCAATGAATTAGAATGAGCACAGAGCACTAAAGCAACTAAGTGCTTTGGCTCCCGTATCAGAACCTCTACTCTGACAAGCTAAAGACCACATACGCATATCAAAAAAAAGGAAGGAGGGGTGAAGAATGAGAATAAATCATATTAAGGAAATTAATAACTACTTCCACCCTTCAGTATTACTAGTGTTTAAAATTGTTGGATTTTCTGATTAAAGTGGTTCATATACCAGGAACAGACAAGATTTTGGTGTTAAAATTTTTTTAATGTTTGTTGTCTATTTCTGATTATAAAGGAAACATACTTACTGTTGAGAATTTGGCAAATATGTAAAAGTATAAAAAAATAAACTCCCTGTAAATTAATCACATTCCAACAACACTTTATACTGACACCATTTTTATACACATTTACACACATCTATACCTATAACATACACAAAAATGGGACTGTAATGTATATAAAGTTGTATTTTATTTTTCATTTATTTTATCATGAGCACTTTCCTATATCATGAAATTTCTGAAACCATAATTTTTAGTGGCTATGTAATGTAAGTTCTTTAGATGATCAAGTCTGGAGATTCCTGAGTTAAAAACTGTCAACCTGGCCCTGTGGATCAAGAACTTGACTTTAAAATCTGCCATGGAAAGTTTCTAATCAGAAATCTCAAGTTACAGTTTGAAAGCATTGGAACTTCCTAACCAAGAATTCGATGAAATTCACTGGGTTTTAGCTATGAAGGATGCTCCCTAAAAATCGTATCTTCCCAAATACAACAATTTCATAATGTCTTGACAAAGAAATTGAGTAAGTATCAAAGAATGCAGTAGCAATAACAAATAAGAACTAATAAGTGCTTACTGTAAGAATGACTATCTGCAATATTTTGTTTTTTTTAATAAAGCAAAGTGAGAGAATGTATGCCTCTATAACTTGTACAATTAAGTTTTCAAGTGGATATAGAAAAAAATGATTACAGAAAAATGCATATAGAAAAAGAATGCATACAGAAAATAAACAATGACAAAGGGTTAATCTTTGTTAATTCTGAAATATGACATTCTTTGAACTACTCTGTATTTAAAATTTTTCTCACAACCAAAATATTTATGTTAAATTAAAATATTAGTCACGTAAGTAAGGTAATTCAGATTTTAGTTATTAAAGTTGAAGTAAAATCATTAAGTTTTCCCAGAGGTTAAGTGGATCTTGTGAGAAAAGAAAAACAAAAAGCTGGGCATTCAGCATTAGGAGTTTGTTCTAAAATTATACTATTCTAAATTAAATATCAATGTTTCATGTTGAAAGTAAGTGTAAGGAAGGACCAGCTTTTGAACTTTATAGCTGTGTTTCCTTCAGGTGCTATCCTCCCTGAAGGAAATGATACAATTTCTGTTCTATCAAAAAGGTTGATCTAATCGTTAGACAAATAAAACTGCAAGACTGCATTTCATTTTCTGACTCCAGCTCTCTTAACTTTACTGATGCTAAAACCATTTTTTAAAATTCTAGTTTCTAAGATCCCAATTTAGTCCAGAGGACGGTTTGCCACTTGATACATATATGGTTGCAATTTTCTATTAATAAGCAAGGTCCGTAGTAGAAAAAAAATTAAAGAATAAAAAGTTACAGAAATAAACCAACTCTTTATATCAGCGCTCACAAACAAAAATTTTAAATAAATGTAAATTGTTCTTAATTGCACCACTGTCCTCAAATGTAGCCCTAAGATATCTTAATTTTGCAACAGCATTCCCCATCCCTTATTCTACTAATCAGTTCTCACCTTTTTTCTCTGGTGGAAAACGTGAATTTTTCAGCAAAAGTGACTCATTCATTGGCATCTTGTCAAACTAACCCTGAAACTATAAGGAGGCTCGTCGCTAACAGAATTCCAAAGCTAGAACACTTTCACTATCACACATCATTTTGACTTCACAGGACTGACTCGCTATCAGAGCCAAATACATATTAATAAACTCTGTTCATATTTTTCCTTAAAAATTGTGCGCCACCATACCTCCTCCCAATTTTAGTTTGGCAATTCCCTAATCTAAACATCTTCTATCTCTGGAGAAGACAAGATGGGGCAATGTAGTAGCTTAAAAAGAGGAGAGGGGAGAAAAAAAGTTGCTTGCTCAGCTTGAAAAATGTCTATTCTGAAACATTAACAACTCATATCTATTCCACATCATTCTCAAAATTTATTTCTCCCCTTACTTACAAGAAAATTACACAATACAATACACAATAAAAAAAATCTCCAGAAATAAATTACTTTCACTGCTATTATTTCATTAAAGTTTAAAAAACAACATGAAAATCAATTACTGAGAACTATTCAGCCAAAAATCAATGAGATATCACTAGCATTAACTATCAATGGCAAATCAGCTAATCATTGTGGTTCACACGTTCTCCTCCACCAAGACAGAAAACTGCTCCTTTTAGCCAGAGGAAAGGTGGCAGGGAAGGAACAAGAAAACAATGATTTGTCAGACTACCACAGACAATTTCATATCGCTCTATCAATTGTCACACTCCACCTGGTGGCAAGAGCTGCCTCAATTGGTGAAGTGGAGGTTATTACACAAGAAATTCCAAAAAATACTTTCCAGATGTCCTTAGAAAGAAGCAAGATGCTCTTCTCTTGCTGTATACAGAATAAATCTAACAAGGTTCAACCAAAGTTTTTCACAGAATAGTAGGTCAATATCTAATCAAAGATTAACATAGAAGTTGTCACAATAATCACAATGGGAGACCTATATTTAGAGCAATCTATTTACAATCATTCTTTCCATCCTTTTTAGTTGTCATCTCAAGCCTTTAGGATAGGTAACAAAGCACATCCAGCAGCCCATACTCCCACTAACTTTCTTTACCCTTTTCCCCTATGGGTAAAGTACAGAGTTTAATTAACAGAGTTAACAGCAGCTTGCCACATTGCTCTTAGATATTTGCCAGTAACATATACCCCTGGGATATTCTAGATAATGATTTCAACCAAAAATAAAAATAGATAAACAGAGCTCAAGCAAAATTAAAACTGAGTCTGGCTGCCCACACTTATTTTCACACATGAGGAAAAATAGCAGTTCTCCTAGAAGTCTCAAGCAGACATATCTTTAGAACACAATGTTAAAAATATGCCCCCCTCCCTTTTCCCCTACCTGTTTCTCACTCAAAGCTGTGATTTTGGCTTGGAGCTCATGAAGCTGTTTCTTTAAATCAGCATTCTGATTGGAAAGAAAAAATATCTGTGAGAAAGATATTTTATTTGTTAACAGAATAGTAGCAAGAAGACTTTATGCATATTGCATTACAAATGATGAAGCAACCTTAAGCGTTTAGCCAATCAAATTCATCATGCATTAAACTGTAGTTGTATTATCACTACCTAATGCATATATCCTAAATGTAGTCTCCTAACACTAGAACAGGGCCAGCTCCTTTGCGATTGTTTTAAATTATAAGTTTTATATTTTAGCATCTGTAAAATAGTATTCCTTTCTACTAAAAATGCTGTTATTCTTTACAGAAAGTATCAGTTGACAGAAAACCTAAAGCTCCACTAATCAGACAAAAGCAGGAAAATGGACGTTGTAAGCATGAATACACTGCCTGCTTAACGGCATTATCAATAAAGATAAGAGGTTTTTCTCTACTTGCCCTCTCCCTTATTTAGTAGAGTACATTTGTTATTTTAGCCTAGATTTGAAAAGCTGTCAGTGCTGCAACTGCCTTAACACTACATCATTCAAATTAACACACTGACTACCAGGGCACTTTCTCAGTTTTCAAATTCTAGGATTTAAAAAGAATACTATTTTAGATGAGATACACCAAATATTCTTGCCTTTTACTCAAGTGGGGGGAGAAATCCAAGATTAAAAAAACAAGATTAATGCTTAATGTAGCAGCGCAGCCTACTAGCAGACTAAGTATCACCTCAATGAGAGACCAACTTTTTCTTCATCATTTCACATGCAATTCTTTCAACTGGCTCTGCCTGATCTTCTGCCAGGTTAGGGCACACATCCTCCTTCTCATGTTTACTCCATGTGGCCTTTTTTCATAAATGTGTGCGGATATAGATATAGATAGATATAAATATAGATATAGATATATCATCCACAGGCTTGTCCAACAATTTACTGCCCCCTCAGACTTTTTACATTAAGATTACTGTTACATGACCACCAGCTATATAGAAGATGCTAAAGTTTTCTAATAATATTTCAGTTGCTGATAGTAGAGGTTACCATATTAAATATAAAAGAATTTATTAATCTAAGGTCTACTGCATCTTGGCTCCCTAAATCTAATTTAAATAATATATTTTTAAAATAAATAAAAATGGAGAAGCTTCTCAAGGAAGCTCGAGTGTCAAACAGAAATTAAGTGTGAGCTACCAATGGATTATGTTAAAACACTACAGTTAGGTAATTGGGTGCTAATTTTTTTTAAAATGACCATTATTCCCACTTCCAAATATCAATTTGCCTCAGCACCATTCCTGAATCCAAGAATTTATTTGACTTAAATTCACAAGGCATGTATGGTATGTTTAACAAGCTAAAGATATATATATACATATACCTGAGTGCCCACCAATGGGTCCAGTTGTTTTGTGAACAGATTATGAATCAACAAATGAAAAGGAGAAATTCTAAGAGAGTCTCGTAAGTATTCTCCATACTTATGACCCATTGTCTAATGGCTGCAAAAGAGACACTGCCTAAATAATACACATAATCATCAAAGACAAAGTAACTTTTTAGGGAAGAGTTCTCTTCAGGGACAGAGAATAAAATGTGTAAATAAATCTCCTATAAGAATTTAAAGAAAATGTAAAATTTGCTAGGTTATGTGCTCTTTAAAAAATAATAAATTTTAAATGCTTTTAAAAACTTATCCTAAAATTCTTGCCCTGTAACATAGTGTGATTAAGTATTTAAAAGTTCTATACACTATCTCTACTATAAACTATGAGAAAATAAGAATGGTTCTGGGCCATCTTCAATAATTTTGAGACTATAGAAAGCCTTACAAACTGATTCTGAGTAAGTGGGCTTATGAAAATGAAATTTAAGCTCAATGAAGAGTATTAACTCTCAATTCCCTACCAAAATACTCAAAGCAATTAACACAAAGGCAAGTTAACAGTAACAAAAATGAAATGATAGCTACTGATATATTAGAACCGAATGACTGGATTTTTCTAAACCCTTATAACCTGAAGACCAATATGCAAATATAATTGCTGTTAGAGATGAGATAGTTTTTACTACTTAAATATTGGTATATATTTTAGTATTTTATGGTTATTTTTAAGAAATTAATTTAAAAATTAAATGAATAAAAGTAGTATTTTACCTGTGGATCCTGCTTCATTTGAGCAACCAGTTTCTGGCAATAAAGAGAGAAAAAGAGCCATCAGTCTTATGCATTAACTCACTACGGCTAATCAGGTTTGGCCCCCAAAATCTAGAGTTTTAAGTCCACACTCAAAAAATGAGCAACATCACAATCAGAACAAAAACCTTCTGTCATCTATATAAAAGATTAATGAGACACTCCTTTTAATATAAGAAAAAAAATCAAACTACCACTTTATATTTGAAATGAAGTGCTCCCTTTTTTTTTTAAAATTCTCAACTGAGGACATTATTTTTTCATTGCTTTTAGAGGGAACGGGTTGGGAAGAGAGAGATAATATGAGAGAGAAACACTGGTGTGAGACAGAAAGATCAACGTGAAAGAGAACATTGGTGGCCCTCTTGTAGGTGCCCTGATCATGGATTGAACCCACAACCAAGGTATGAGCCCTGACCAGGAGTCGAACCCACGACCTCTTGGTCTACAGGTGAATCTGACCAACTGACTCACACTGGCCAGGGCAAAATACTCCTGCTTTTAACAAATGTGGAGATAGGATAGGGATTGAGGGTGGGGTTTAAAAGGCAATTTAAACAAGCTGGATGCTCCAAAAGCCAAACATCTCTTTAAAATGTCACTGTCTAGAGTCCTAAGTTAGGCCTAGAAAGTTACTGCTCTCATATACAACAGCAGAGTACAAAAGAAGCCTGGTTTCAGACATGACTTTGCTACTCTCTATGAGGGGAGGCAGGGATGTACTTGGTGGAACAGTGATGCTCAGTATTTGAGAGTAAGAAAGTGAAGGAACAATAATAGTGTGAAACTACCTACCTGAGATCCTAGGGGAAGGAGTGTGCAACCAGAATATTGACTAAGATAGATCTTTACTAAGGAAAACAGAAGTCCAAACAAAATGAAAAACAAAGAAAGAGTGGGTATTGTCTAATATTAACCCAACTTCTAAAAGCATCATTGCCCGAGTATCTGAAGGATGGAGTATCAGAAAGCTGACTCCTAAAAGTTATTTGGGAAAAAGCTGTTCCACAAGTGAACTTCTCATATAACTGAACATGTGTCCCTCTCTTTGGGTGACAAGGTATTTTTAAATTTTTTAGTCATAAAATAAAAACTTTCTAAAATATATTACATACCTATCTGCCTTCTAAGTACTGGGTTGGCCAAAAAGTTTGTTTAGTTTTTTCCATATAATGGCTCTCCTAAGTGCTGAACTGTTTTTAACTTCGTTCGAAACAATGTGGTTAGACTGTATTGTGATAGCTGTCATATCAGCATGCATTTAAAAAAAACTTATCAAAATTGGTGAATTTTTGTGCAACCATTTTAATATTGAAGATGAAATAAAATATGTAACATTTTTGGTGTATTATGTTTTATTATGTAAAGAAAGATAAAGACACAACTGAAATGCAAAAAAAGATTTGTGCCCATTGCATGGAGAACATGCTGTGACTGATCGAATGGGTCAAAAGTGATTTGCAAGGCTTCTTGGTACTACTGACATTTTGGCCAAATAATTCTTTGCTGTGGGGCTGTCTTATGCATTAGAAGATGTTTAGCAGCACTCCTGGCCTCTATCCACTAGAAGCCAATAGTGCGAGATAGCCAACGTACTCAAAATATGCAAATCAATAAAGTTACTGGTGAAAATGAAAAAGGTGTCTTTTATTTTACAGAAAAAACCAAAGAGACGTTTTGGCCAATCCAGTATTAAAAAGTCAGCTTTTATTGTATAATCTTTGGTAAATGACTTCTAGCACTTATTCTAGTTGGTCAAAAGCCTTATTTCAGGTACTGAGTTACATTCTAGATAGCTGAAGTTGTCAACCATGTGACCTCCAAATACACAAGGTATATAGGTTACCTATGATATACTCTACTTCACATGTGACAGTAGTAACTCTTCTATATCCTGGTCTTAATTTCAGAACACTAGTAATACATTCCAAGAGATCAGTGAATTTGAACTACAAGGTTTTATACATAAACATTTCTACTAATGCAGCCTAAAGGCTAACCACACTCTTCAATGAAAAAACCTTCGGTTTTCCTTTTTGATTTGGTTACCAAAGAGTAGGCTACTATGCTAAAGCTGTCTTTTTGAAGCTGAAAAAGATTTTCTTCCATGACACTAGATTTTAAAAACTGACTCATAACCACACTAAAACCCCACCTCTGAGGAAATTGAATAAACTATTCTATCTGTAAGCAGTCAAGCTGCATTTTACATCATCAGAGGCAGGACTGAACATGCTGGGCAACTTAACTAGACCATCCAAATCTTAGTGATTTTAAGATGACATTGGATTAGCAAACCTGTTACTTTCTGTTGCAATAATACAGCAAACTACAGACCACAGGCAAATGTGGCCATCTATCTGTTTTGTAAATAAAGTTTTATTTGACACAGCCACACCCATTCATTTATATATTGTCTATGGCTGCTTTGTCTGCACAGCAGCAGAGCAGAGAAGTTGTGACAGAGATTAGAAATGACTTACAAAGTATAAAATATTTTAATTTACTATCTGGCTCTTTACAGGAAATATTTGCTAACCTCTGCTTTATACTATTGGGTTCCATGTAGAATAAATACTCTGAAAGTTTAAATACAGCTTTCATCAAATCTGCATAAGAGTCATCAAAAAGGCAATTTCTGAAAAAAAGGTGAGATGCCCACCGCAGGCCATTATTATATAAACATTTATTCAACATCAACTATGTGTACATAGTTGAATAGCTACTTTTAAAACCATTTCCCTATCTATAAAGAATAAAAATATACTTCTATGACAGCAATACCAGGTAGTTTCACAACACACTTTCCATCCAGTAAGCTCAATTTCAGCCCTAACTTCATTCCATAACTGGAAATGCACAAAGGGGTGCCTTTGGCCCCAGCCTAATAGCCAGAGCCTACTTTGACGTCATTCCTGGCATCGCTTAACTTGTCATAATCAGTGATCACGTAAGTTACCACATATCCAATCAGAGTAACAACACTAGATTTACAAACTAGGCATGTCACTTGGATTTACTGTTAATACTTAATTTTTTTTTAAACATAGAAAAGTATTCTAAGTGTAACTGGAATAAAAATATCTTAGTATTTCTACATGTTAAAATCTATCAATAAACATATGTGTTTATTACTGCAAAAAACAAAAGGTTGTCTATTAATAAAAGATAACTATAAGTGCTATTTTATGCTAAAAATAAGTAGTTAAATATATAAGAAAACAGTTAATGTGAATATTAAGATAGTAACCGGGGTAACTTTATGAATAATATTATATCCCTTTGAGTCAACAAATGTAATTTTAAATGTAAATTAGATTTTAGAATAAGCATTAAATTTTTTCATAATTATACTTTTCATAAAATTTGTATGCTTGAATTAAAATATGAAACAAAATAATATTTTAACACTCTACTTAATTTTTAGTAATTTAGTTCAATTTAGGTCATGAGTCTTTCAAGAAAATCTTATCGAGATTTGTTCAAATTTTGTGAGGATGAACTAAAAGCAAAATGTCAACTCTGCCATCTCAAAATTTTTTGAGGAGGATTATCTCCAACAATCACATACAACTTCATTAAATGATCTCTCATCCATGTAAATTTCAGATTGATTATTGTTCTCTAGAGATTTGTTCTATGATGATGTCGGCTTTGAACAAACTGTGAACTTAACTGTCATCATTTGCCATTTAGCCATATTGGGTATTCAACACCCTCTATGTTAAAATACTTCTGTCCAGGAAAAAGACAAGCTTGTTTTTGTCAATAGATTTTTTTATTCTCCCCAATTAGTAACGGAAGTAAAGCCAAGTAAAATAAAATGTGCTTATTTTATTATATACTAAATTTAAATATATAACACTTATTATATACTATATTTCTTGAAGTTACCATGAAAAAAAAACACACTTCAAATAGAAAAGCCCGCCTATACATGGCAAACTGTAACACTACTGCTGAGCAAGAGCTTAATAAGATCCAAAGCAGCAGCAGGAATTTCTGAACGTACAAAGACTTAATGTAAAAAGTATATGTGTATGTATCTCTCTCTCTACATATATGTGAAGCTTTGGAGCTTTCCTGTAAGTTCTCATCCATTAATTTTGAGCAATTTGCAAATTCAGCAGTCACCAAAAACCCAAGGTATTTTTCCAACAATTTCAGAAACTAACCTTACCTTAAGACTATTCAGATAAAACAAACTATACCTAAGAACACCTTTAAAAAAATATTTTGTCTCCTATTCCAAAACCCCAAACATTCAAAAGTAGTCAATTCATCATTTATCACTTTTTATTCACCAAACATTACTTATGTCTGTGTGTGTCTTAAATCCAACACCACATCTAGTTAATGTATAGAAGAGATATAAAACAGTGATATTCTGTTTATATAAAAAATGTTAATGATTTAAGGACTGCTTTTTGTATTGGTTACAGTTATAGTAAGTAAAACATACACATTTAAACTATATTTAATGTACAATGTATTTTATGAAAATAATTATCAGGTAAATATAATCATAAATATATTCTTATTTCTGTATTTTAAATGTTTGTTTAGCCTAAGTACCTGACGTAAAATATAAGAATTATGAAATCTGAAATTTAACATCTGTGAAGGCAATCACATTTTCTTCACTAACAACTGGAATCCAGGCATAAAGCTGAATGCATAAAAGCTTTGGTATACATGGTAGTCAAGTCAAACACGTCTCACTTAAAATATGCAAGTTAAGTCATAAATTACATGTATAAAGTCCCTCAGATGAACCAGAAAAAAGAGTTGCTTTTAACACCTTTGTTATACAAAAAAATATTTTCAGTTCATATCTATGAAAAGGAAATCAGGAATATTTTATTAAAGTTCTCAAAAATATTATTGTTGAGTTTATTAAGTAGTGATAAAAGGCAAATGATGTGACTACTGGACAACTGTCTGAAAGATGATTAACAATAGTACTAAAAATCAGAGATGGATCTGTTTACTAATTAATCTTAGCCATTAGTTAATAACATGATGTGGGAGAAGCCAATAATGCAACATACCTGGTGAACCTGAATTTCCACTTTAAGAGCTTCCTGTAGAGTCTGCAACTCCATCCTCTACCTTCTCCACTTTCTTCTTATGTCTGCTAATTCTATAGTTTCTTCAGCCTCTGTTTAAAATAACAAACTCCTCTTCTCACTGTAGCTGTAGAGATCAATCAATGTTTTGGATCATTATGTTAGGTATAACAGAAATACTCATGTTAAATACAATAAATTATAGTAGTTGAAAAATATCTGATCCTCCAGCACAGGGGAAGAAATTCCCCAAACAGATTTCTTTCCAAAATAAATAGTTATACTGAATTGGTACCAAAACTTTCTGAGTTTTATTCTTTGAGCATTCCTCTACAGAACAACTTCAAAGAAGCAAGAAACGAAAAAAGAAAAGTGTTTAATCTGGTCATGAAAATACCTATGCACTTACCATGGGCTCAGTGCCACACTACATACTACACTTTGAGGATAGAGAGCTGAACAAAACCACTTCTGCCCTGGATGAGCTGGAAATCTAGAGGGGGAGACTACAACCATCCAGGACATACTGTCCTTAGAAAGAGACATAACAACAGGGTCATACATTTTTAAACATCACAGAGAGTAAACTGGAAAGTTCAGAGTCCCTCAGAGGTTACAGAAGGCCAGAGCACCTTTTTTATTTGGATGAACTCTTAACTCTTATTTAAACAATTTTAAAAACTGAAAATGGGAAAACTCTGGTTTAAGTTAAAGGTTTACATTTAACAAATTAATACGTAACACAAAGACAAGGCAATGTAACTGTGTTCTCCACAAAGTTATGAAAGGGGTAGTAAGTTAAAGGTTTACAATTTAACAAATTAATAATTAACACAAATACAAGGCAATGTTACTATGTTTTCCACAAAGTTATGAAAAGGGTATTAAAAATAAATCTATTATGCACGTTTAGCAATGGAACAGACGTTTCCAGGCTTACAATGACCACCACCTCCTCCGTAGGCCTGCCAGTGCCATCCCTCTGGCTATGTGTATAACTGCATATGCAGAGACTGTCAAAAGTCTAGATTTGTGAATGTGATCTCTCTTATCCTGCTCTGCTCATCACTACTGCAATTTAATACTCAATGGTTAATTTTGCTTTTAATATTTTTTCTTGTAGTCTCAAAATACTCTTAATCTAAAAAAACAATAAATTTCAAAAGTGTAAAATTCCTTCAAACTCACAAAGCAAAGTTTGCTTATGTCTGAATAAATTTAAACATTACATTTCTGTACCTCTAAAACTTGTAGTAAGAACAACTTTTCAGCAGTCTTATAAACTGAAGAAGGAAATAATCAGAAAGCTAAAAGAATCACTACTCCCTATATCAATTCAATGAGATTCATACTCTACACTTTCTAGAAATTATTTATCTATAGACAAAGTCCATAGTCAACCTAAGTATTCCTAGCATTTCTTTAAAACTTGATTTAACAGTCATAATAAAATCATTAACTAAGGAATACACACTTGTCAATATTAGTTTTTTTAAAAGTATATTTTGATTGTTATTACAGTTGTCCCGATTTCTCCCCTTTGCCCCGTCTGCTCAGTACCCCACTTCTCTCCAGCAATCCCCCTCTTAATTCATGTCCATGGGTCATGCATATATATTTTTTATCCTCTCCATTTCTTATACTATTCTTAACATCCCTCTGTTTTGTACCTACCAATTATACATTTTGATTCCTGCACCTTTTCTCCCATTCTCCCCCTTCCCCTTCCCAGCTGATAACCCCCCAAATAATCTCCATATTATGATTCTGTTCCTGTTCTAGTTGTTTGCTTAGTTTCTTTCCTTTTTTTTCTTTTTGATTCAGTTGTTGATAGCTATGAATTTGTTGCCTTTTTCATGTTCATAGTTTTGATCTTTTTCTTTTTTTTAAATAAGTCTCTTTAACATTTCACATAATAAGGGCTTAGTGATGATGAACTCCTTTTGCTTTACCTTGTCTGGAAAACGCTTTATCTGCTCTTCAACTCTAAATGATAGCTTTGCTGGATAGAGTAATCTAGGTTGTAGGTCCATGCTTTTCATCACTTTGAATACTTCTTGCCAGTCCCTTCTTGCCTGCAACATTTCTTTTGAGAAATCAGCTGACAGTTTTATGGGAACTCCCCTGTACGTAACTTCTTTTCTCTCATTGCTTTTAAGATTCTCTCTTTATCTTTAACCTTTGGCATTTTAATTATGATGTGTCTTGGTGTGGTCATCTTTGGGTCCAGCTTGTTTGGGACTCTCTGTGCTTCCTGGACTTGTATGTCTATTTCCTGCACCAAATTAGGGAAGTTTTCTTTCATAATTTTTCAAATAAGTTTTCAATTTCTTGCTCTTCCTCCTCTCTTTCTGGCATCCCTATGATTCAGATGTTGGCGTGTTTGGAGATGTCCCAGAGGCTTCTTATATTATCCTTTTTTTTTTTTTTTAATTCTTGTTTCTTCTTGCCATTCTGGTTGAATGTTTATATCTTCTTTATGTTCCAAATCATTGATTTGAATCCCAGCTTCCTTCCCTTCAATGTTGGTTTCCTGTGGATTTTTCTTTATTCACTTAGTGTAACCTTCATTTCTTCCTTTATGTTGTTGCCATACTCAGTGAGTTCTTTGCGCATCCTAATCACTAGTGATCTGATAGGTTGGCTATCTCCATTTCGTTTAGTTCTCTTCCTGAAGTTTCGTTCTGTTCTTTCATTTGGGCCATATTTCTTTGTCTCCTCAATTTGTCAGCCTCCCTGTGTTTGTTTCTGTGTATTATGTAGAGTTGCTCTGTGTATTATGTAGACTCTCTGTAAAAGGCACCTGTATATTGCGGAGGGCAGAACCTTAGGTAATCTCCAGGATGGGGCAACCCGCTTTACCACTTTGTGGCTCTGTGTGGGGGCAGGGTCAGAGAGGGGACTTGCCACTGACTGGCTTCTCAGGGTTTGCCAGGTACTCGCCTTGTTTCCAGTCACTTCACCCAGTCCCTGTACGGGAATGGCGCCCTTCCAGCTGTTGCCCTGGTGTTGAATCCCAGAGTGCGTGAGTTTGCATATGTTTTAAGACCATGCGGGCCCTTTAAGTGAACTTTCCTGAAAATCTGGCAGTTTTTTCTGCTGCCCCAACACCCACTGGTTTTTGCAGCCAGACGTTACGAGAATTTATCTTCCAGGTGCTGGAACCCTGGGCTGTGCAGTCTGGCCTGGGGTTGGAGTCACTGGCTCCCAAGATCTCCCTCCTGATTTTTATCCACCACATGTGAATGTGGGGCTGCCTGTGCTCATCCCACCATCACTGCTGCCTCTCCACACTACATCGTGTTGCCTCACCTCTCTGCCCTGTCTCCGTGTCTCTGCCTCTCCTGTCTGGATGAAAGTGGCTTCTTTAAATCCTTCGTTGTCAGACTTCCATACAGGTCGATTTTCTGACAGTTTGGGTGTTTTTGGGGGGGGAGAATTTACTTGTAATTCCTTTTTGTGGTTGCACAAGGAGGTGAAGCATGTCCACCTACACCTCCATCTTGACTGGTCAATATTAGTTTTCATCACATTTGCTTAACCTCACTAGACTTAAAACATCATTATTGGCAATCTTTCCCCTAGGGCTTATATACTATTTTGTAGTATCAAAATACTCTAACCTAAAAAAGAAAACTCAAAAATGTAAAATTCCTTCAAACTCACATCTATGTAGACTAGGAAAGGATTATTGTACAATGGTATTATCAACAAAAAAAGTACATGAAGATAGTACATTGAGGGGATACAATTTGGCAAAGAAGACATATTTTGATGAACAAACCTGGGTTTTTCAGCTACTTATTATCTTAGAAAATCTTTGGAACTATAATAAATAAACATGAGACTCATTAAGTTGCTGATTTAGACCAAGGTTTTTGTTATCATATAAGATTATGTTACATACAAACTCACATGTTTAAACTACAGCCACTTTAACAATGATGTTATTTTAATTGTTCCTTTATTGTTTGTTGAAACTAAACCTGTTTTAGTATATTTCTTACCTATTTCTATTATTAAAAAAAAAAACCCTTACATGACTTTTTGGTAGTCTTTATCCATTTATTGATTAAAGGTTTGTAGAATTTTTTTCCAAAAAAAAAAAAAACCCCATTAACCATGTTTTAGGTCTGTTGCAAATACTTTTCTATTCTATTCCTTGTCCTTTAATTTTTTTAATATGTATATTACTATATAGTTAAATGTTTAATATAGTCATATTGTTAATATTTACTTTATAGCTTCTGGGTTTGAATATTTTACTTCAGGTCATGAAAAATATTAGTCCTATTTTCTTCTAAAACTCCTTAGATTCTACAAATTGATTTTTAACTCACCTGAATATTTCTTGTATAATGTGTGAAATAGGCCTCTATGTTTGTTTTATTTCAAGTAATAGTGGTCCATGCACTTTAGTTGTTGAATAAGCCTTATTTTACCCATTGATTTGAAATATCAACTTAATCATATATTGTTAGATAGATATATATGTTTGTCTCTAGAATGCTCATTAAATTTCATTGATCTATTTGATTATTTCTGTGCTGGTGTCATGTTGGTTTAATTGCTGAGACTTTATAGTGGTTTTAAATTTTTTTAATATTTTATAATTAACTTTGACATTTAAAAAAATAAAATCAATCTGCATTTAAGAAAGAAAGAGAGAGAGATGGAACTCCTACTTTTTGTGACAACATGGATGGAACTGGAGAATATTAAGCTAAGTGAAATAAGCCAGTTGATGAAAGACAAATACCATATGATCTCACCTATAATGGACCCTATTCAACAAAATAAACTAAGGGACAAAATAAACCAGAGGCATGGAAACTTGGAGCAGACTGAAAGTGACCAGAGGGGATGGGGAAAGAGGACAATGGTGGAAAGAAGGGGAAGGGACTAGACAAAGAACATGTATGAATGACCCATGGACATGGACAACAGAGTGGGAATTGACTGTGGGAGCAGGGGCTGGGGGTGGAGGTGGGATGGGTGGAGGGGGGTAAAGGGGTAAAAATTGAGACAACTGTAATAGAATAAACATGATTTATAAATTTAAAAAAATAAATTTAAAAAAACAAAATTATAGTCACTTTAATTTTAAATTCTAAAATAACCTTGCCACTAAATTCTTGATTTATGTACTAGAGTTCTTCCTGAAAACAGTACTTGAATTAGTTTTAATTTTGTAGTAAATGTGCCCAAAATTTATGTTATAGTAACTGTCAAATTACGAATCATCTTGAAGTTAAAGGGGTATTTTCAACACCAGAAAGGCCGTATTTTATTTTACTGGTTGTAACATATTAACATCATAGCTCAACTCAACTCATATAAACTACGGAAACAAATAGCAGGTTAAAAACATAGAGACCTTAGAATATAAACAACAAAGAGTTAACATAATTTACAGTTAAGAGTGCTTACAAAGTTTTTAAAATTATAAAAAAGCAAATCACTGAAGAAATAAAAACCAACAAACATGAATAAAAAACATAGCCACAGAAATGTAAATTATAAGAAGATAAGTTTCATCTATCAAACTAACAAAGATTTATAAAAATAGTAATACGCCAGCTGTCTTGTATTTGAGTCAGGCAGCACTTTCATAATTTGCCACTGGTTATCTCTGAGGAGTAACACTAAGGGTTTTTTACTTTCTTCTTTCCAGAGTATCAATATTTTAAAAATTTACATAGAAAATAGGCACTTATTTTTAAATAACAAAAAATTAACTGAGGGTTATTAGATAAAACATCAGAGAATTTTATACTGATGAAAGAAAATGTTCAGGAAAAGAAAAAGTAAAACCAAGGTTTAACCTGGAGGCTCTAAATGTCAAAGAGTGTCCAACAGGGTAAAAAGCCTGCAACTCAAGTTAGCAAGGAGCTGACAGCTTTCACTTCTTTCACCAGGTTGGTGTCTACTTCTTAGAGACACACAAAGACACACATTTTATTTGACAAGAACTCTAAATGCCAATTGCTCATTTTATTTCAAAATAAACCATTTTTTTAAAAGGGGTTAAAAAAGGTAGTGACTTGTTATAGAAAAACTTATGGAGGATTAGAAAATTCATCTGAAATCATTTTTCATAAAGGTCTCTTCCTGGATAGCAGTTTTAAGAGACTGGTCTCTCCCTAAAAGAACAAATTATATACACATATTTATAGCTTCTAAAAACAAGGCAAGAATATGTTGAATCCTCTTTAAAAAACATTTTGGGGGCTTAAACAACTCATGCAGCCATCATGTGAAGACCATTTGGGTGCTGTTTATAGCATCATAAAGAAAGCATGAGTTGCTAAATCTGTAAAAAAAATGATTTACCAAATTTTGACCAACTCTAATAAGTTATAAATAAATCACTTGTATGGTAAATATAAACAGATGCACAAACAGTAATAGACACTTTACTGAGATATAATGCCTTTCACCATCCAACAGCTCTAAATACTACCATCAGAAAGAACAATTACCTAGAACAAAATACCAATGTTTGTTATCTTCAACACTATACAAGTCAAACTACTGGGGCGCCTAATGGCTTCTCACCTTCTAGTAACAAAAAAACATAAACAAAGAAAAACTCCACCAAGCAACCAAGCAAGGACAATAATCAAATCCCACTAAGAAAGGCAGCAGTGATGTCTGGGAAGAACTTCTGTCCCCAAAATCAAAAACCCTGACCCCACTTACTCACTGTGTAATCACTCAGCCTCAGGGTTTTTAAAATTTGTATGTTTGCTTATAAATCAAGAAAATGGGAACAGTATCACCTACTTCATAAAATTGTTATGAGGTTTAAATAAGGTAAATACCATATGAAAAGCCCTTTGTCAACTATAAAGTTCTATGCTATTCCTAATATAATGCTCTTATTCATACACACAAACTTTACGTCTCAATATAGTATACTGCTGAAAAGTCGGGAGACTTGCCTATTTTGAAATTCTCTAAGAAAGGAGTTTCTAACTATTTTTCTGGGTATAGTTCTGCTTGGAGATATGCGACCTCTAGGTCTTTCATTATGATTCTAATAATTTAGTAATGCTGTAACTCTGAATTTACTGCTAAGAAACACTGCTCTGTTCCTGAACTGCTGCAAGCCTTTTTCCATTCAAAATTCAACTCATCAACCAAGTTTCTTTAACTAACAGTAAGTTCCTAATATATTGTGCCCCCAGTCTGAATTCCCTAAAAATGGACAGTTCTGTGTTCGCTATAGTTGGCTGGTACAGGACTCCACTTTTGATCTATATTTCGGAATAGTGTTTTGAATAGGTACAATTAATTTTTTAAAATATAAAAATGTAGAAAGTCTTGACAGATCAGTGTATCCTTATTTGTCACATGTCTTATACTAAAATATCAGGTTTCAATTTGTGCAAAATACTATGGATCTAACATGCTAGGAGAGAAAACAGTATCTTTAACTTTTAATTAATAGTGATAAAAATCACCATGGATGCCAAAAATAATAAAATTCTTTTAGTAACACTTATTGAAAACTAACATTTACTAACATGAATCAATAAAAATGACAAAAAATATTTGTTTTTTTAATTTCATGGTGGTAGCTCTTTGGTGACACTCCTCAGCATCAACCAAAACATGCTACTGCACGAAGAGCTGGGCAATCCTGGTTTGAGAGGCTCCCATCTGAATCTGGCAAGGTCACTGTGCTCACATCCTGGTATTATTAACTGCTGACAAAGTCACTTCAGCCAGTGCGACTGATGTTTCCTAACCATTAAATTAAATTTCTACACCCCGCCCCCAGACTTATGATATCTGAACATCTGAAAGTGTTTGAATATAAAATATATATCATTTGCTTTATTTTGGGGGGGGTCCTCATTTTTTAAAAAAAAATGGAATACCTACACAGGCCATACCATTCCAACACAAGGATGGGGTGTTCCGGGCCGGGGCAGGTCAGGTCCCCACAGCACCCTCTCCATCTCAGGTCCACTGCGGTGTCTTCACCTCTCCCTACGAGCAGCGTTCATTCTAACACAAAGCTTCTACCTCAGCTTCCTGGGCCCAGGCCTAACTCAAACACACACATTCTTCTATTTCCCACCTTTCTTTACAGACACCAAGCATATTTACTAAAATCATCTCAACTATACCTGACAACCAGAATGTTGAACTGAATTTAAAAACTCACAGAAATTCAAAATGAAAGCGGCTGGAGAATAGTGTATAAGAGCATAGTGATAATGAGGCCGAGATCTTAGAACTGGGTGCCACATTTACCAGAATACTATTTAATGATAAGAAAGAAAAAAAACAGTCTAGACAAGCGTGGTCAGAATCATATATATATTTACTACATAAAAGTTAACACAGAGAGTGTGGTGTGCTGGCATAACCTGTAAGCACTTAATAGAAGTAGAAGTTATGGGAGATAGATTTCAGATCAATTCAAGGAAGAGCTAAGGATTAGAGCTGTACAAAAAACAAATGGGTTACCTTATGAGGTAGTGGGCTCCCTGTCATTAGAAGTATTCAAGAATGCTGCATATCATATCCCCCTCTTGGAGATTCACAATGCACATTAGCATATTAAAGGTTCTGAGAAGTCCTGCAGTAAAGAAACCTGTTTAACTTTAATGCAGCATTTCCCAAATTATTTGACCACAGACATTTTTCCCACCCCCGCCCAACCTCAGTAATATTTATTCATTTCTGTGGACCTAGATTTCCTCAAAATACATTATAGAAAATAACGAGCTACATTTTTTAAAAATGTAGTATTTAGTATGTATCCTAATAACAATCTGTTAGGGATGTAGAAAAAAACTTGCCACATCACGTAAAAGGCTGGAAGAGAAGGCCCTTAAAGTCCCTTCTCTAAGGTTCTATGACTCTATCACATCTCAGAGTACTAAGGGCTATTGAGTCATGATTATTTATTTAAAAAGGTTCCATGAGAGAAAGGCAAGTAGAATAAAAAGGTAGTAAATGCAAGGTTAACTGGTTCAAATGCCTCCCTTTCATGTTCAAAGCCCAATCCCTACAAGATAAGGCACCTAAAGTTATCAAAAAGAAGCCTTAACCAAGTATCTACTCCACACATTAAGCTAATTACTATTTAAGAGAGAGAATTAAAAAACTAAAAAACAAAAAGGATAGCTTTGCATTAGAGGATTACCCTATACCAGTTATCTTGTTTGAATTTAATTTTTTATCATTATACATGCTCTCCAAATAAGGTCAATATTTGTTTGATCCTTTGTTACTAGACTGCCCTGTGCAATCTGTGATCTTGAATTAGACATTCAAAGAAATGATTAAGTGTGATGATTTATAAGCTGTTAAAGTAAATTTTAAAGTAGATATTAGAGAAAAAAATGTTTGCATATATGCCCCACACATTGCTACACTTCTATTTTTTTTCCTCTTTAAGAATTATACAAAACAACACACACTAAAAAATGTAATATCAGACATTAAGCCAATCCAACATTAAATTTAAGAATATAAATGCTTAAAAGTCCCAAATTTCAAAGTCAAGGTTCCCATAGTTACATTAACCTAGCCATTTTTCACATATACTAAGGCCATCAAATTTAATAGCATATTAAGTAATACAAAACACAATGGGAACCTTAACTTTTGAATTTCCTGACTTTTGAATTTTTAGCTCTATCCACTGCATTAAGGGCATTTTTGGCACAGGGGACCTTTACATTTTAACAGGTTATCGAATGCAGGAACATGCAAGCCTAGCAGTATTATTAGAAACACAAATGCATTTGAGATATGGCTATGTGAAATTAGACAAAAATTCACTTTCACTTGGTACAAACAGCAAAGCCTCATTTCTGGGAAGAGAGCTTTTTTGCAAAAATTCACTGAACAACTAGCATCAGGCACATTATGCCTGCCTGGGAAAAGTACTTACCAATTTGGGGGAAACTGGCCCTCCTTCAGCACTCTTGCTCCCTACAACAGAAGAAGGGGAAAATGGAATTAGACTACAAACTCAGATTTATGACATGTCATCAACAGCTGAAGACTGAAAGATTCCTATCCGATCTTAAGAAGAAAAAAACAAAACACACAAAAATCTCCAAAGTGCGAAAACCCAAAAGAAAGAAAGGAAGAGACAGGTAGTTTTTATAGGAAGGAAAGAATTCAGGAGATGTTAAATCTCTGATTTTTCCTTTTTTTTTCCACTTTTCCACAGTTTTTTCAATACAAGGAAAAGTAAATTTTGGTGATTTTCCTTTCCTAAGAGACACACATATATGAAATGCACCTCATCTAAACAACACACAAATACACTCTCATCCTCAACAAATGACCTTCAGTTTGTTGCTTTATATTAACAAATTGAGCTAACATCATTGGTCCTTGTTTGGTCTACTTAAAAGGCATTTTTTCAATCAACCTTGAAATGGATTTGTCTGATATTCTTATAGAAGGCTTTAAAGTTCACAGCATTTTATAAGTATAATCATAATTTGAATTAAACGTTTCATTCACATTCTTATTCTCACCATTTTAGACTGCAAACCATGTAACATAAAAGTGACTTCCCTGCTCTGACTGGGGCTCTGAGAGTTGGGAGTCGACTCACAAACTGAAAGGTCGCCAGTTCAATTCTCATTCAGGGCACATGCCTGGGTTGCAGGCCAGGTCCCCGGTTTGGGGGGTGTATAAGAGGTAACCGAGCAATGTTGCCTCTCACTCGAAATCTGTACGTATCTGCCCTATACTTTAAACATAGAATATTTTTTGACTAATGTTACTCCAATAGTGTTCTCATTTCCTCAAGGGATATTTCAAAAAAAATCTTTATGCCATCCAGATTATAAATTTTTAGTTAATCATGTACAGTCATACCAAACATACAGTAAAATAACCCCAATTCATGCAGTTAACATTCATTTCCAAAACAAATTTCAATTTGCTGTTTTACCCTGCCTTTTCTTTAGCAGCAGTACTTTCTAAAGTTCTCAAATCCATAAAAAAGGCAATTTCAATCATCAAGACTAGAATGACTCCCAACAAAAATAAAAATCATGCAAAAATCTGTAGAATGTAGTTATTAAAAAGTGGATTATCACAAGGAAACAAAAAATTTGTAACTGTGTGGTGATGGATGTTAACTAAATTCACCGTGGTAATCACTTCACGATACACATATATATCACATAATTATTTGTATACCTAAAACTAATACAATGTTGTATGTCAGTAATATCTCAGTTTTAAAATGTGGATTCTTAACATTATGGATACCTACAGACTCTGTAACACTCAAAACAGTACCATGCACATCGCAAATGCTCAGTAAATATTTGTTAAATGAATGAATTCACTGAGTGGACCCTTAACTCTCTGTTGCAGGTTTATTCTCTTGTTAGCTTTTTCATGCTGGGGATAATTTCTTATGCATTGATCTCCCACAGCATTATTTTTCAAATGAATGACTTTGGACAAAAACAGTTAAGAAGTTAAATATTACCATTTAAAATATAATGAAAAGGAAAGGACTGATAATTCGAACTAAATTAAAATTAAGAACTTCTTTTCATCAAAAAAAAACATTAGGAGAATGAAAAAACAAGCCCCAGGATCACAGATGATAACTGCAACACATATAATAACAATGGTTTATACCCAGAATATATAAAACATGTTTATACTCAAAGTGATCAGATAGGGTTGGAATTTTAACTTTCACTTACTTACATGGCATTTGGAAAAGTATAGTCACATAACTGTTTAAAAGTCATATTCAGTAAAAAGGCACAATGAATGAACACCGTATCTCCAGGACACTTCTCCAAAAAAGCAGTAGCAGAGTCAATCCCAAACTGATAGAAGAATTTTACCACAATATCATGAAACTGCTTGCAGGGACGGCAGAAATCACCTAGGAAGTCAGAGCCTGTGAGGTTCAGTGACTTCCCCGAAAGCCACATAGCCAGTTGGCAGTGAAGCTGGAGCGAAGCCTACAGACCCTGAGATGTGTCGCACTGAGCTGGCCTTTCCACTAGACCTCACTTCCTCTTAACCAGCTGTAGCAGTTATTCTTCTAAGAAACAACTACAATAAATACAGGCCAAATATTTTTGGAAAAGTCTGCATATAATGTTTAAAGAAAAATCATGTAAGTAAGCTATCTAGAGCGAGTTTTAAAACCTGAGATCCTATGCCTGAGGGATCCCTGGAAATGGGCTTCAGAGGCATTTGCCAACTCTATAATACTATATGCTAAATTCTTTATGTATGCAAACTCTGGCAAAAGGATCCATAGCTTTAATAAGATTCATAAAGAGGCTCAAGTGCCCCAAAAGAATAAATTATTTTTGAATGCGTGATTCTTAAACACTGCATCAGAACTACCAAAGTGTTTCTCCTGAAGAATTATTAATTGACTACTATTTGGAAATTGATTTGAAAAAAAGAAAAGCAAATATTTTATTTTTATAATTTAATAAGAATAAATTAGCAGCAAAACAGATTTACATGCATTTTTTTACTTTTTGCACTATCCAAGTCTGAAATGCAAGACTGATTTTCTCATGTTAAGCTGACTGAAAGTCCACTTAATTTGTTTCTCACATACAACTCACACTTTTAGCTAAAGTAGCTCAAAATTTTAACATGTATTCAAGTTTTTAAAATACAGATTTCTTCTTGAGAAATACTTTCAAAATATGTAGGTTGGAGTGAATGAAACTATTTTTGCTTTAAAGATATTATCTTGCGAACATAACTTCACATGGTTTTTTTTACAAACTGAAGGTTGTTGACCTCTTCAGATCCTCACAGATAGATGCTTTACTTAGAAATGGTAAAGAAACGGATCATTCAGATTTCTGATCTAATTGTAAAATTTAAAATATCACCAATAAATCAAAGGTGACTAATAACTACTTAATTACCTTTAATGTAATATCTAAAACCTCTGTACATTAAGAATATATATTAAACAAACAAATTTTGCAGAGGAAATAAAATGTTCAATGCCAGATCATGTTTTAAATCAGACTAAAATTCATCCCACTACAAATTTCAAACGATTGAGTTTATAGCGTATGCTCAATCATAAATTTTGATAAGGTACTAGAATAGCGCAGATAATTGTCATTCAAAGACACTTTAAAATGTCACCTTACACAGAAGATTCAATCTCTTCTCTTTTTTCTACTACACCAAGCTGATACACTAATTTTATATATAATAAGTTTTACTGCTTCTTATAAACACTTTCTAACTTCTAAACAGAAAGCATAATAAGTTTGAAATAAATTTAAATGCAAATAAGTGCTCAGAAGAAAAAGCAGAATTCTGCCTCATGCGATTTAGTCCTTTAGGCCCCCATTACAATCATCCCTCTTGCTCCCATCCCTCTTAATCTTACCCTCTCCTGGACACCCCTTAGCACTTCCCCCTTACTCCCAAGAAGCGTCAAATTTTTCCTCATTATTAGATCATTTTGTTTCTTCTATCTTAAAGAAAAAAACGCCTCCCTTCATTCTATATCCTTCTCTAGTTATTGTCCCATGTCTATACTCTCATTTATAGAACTCCCTTAAGTGTTAATCTCGCTCACTGTTGTCTCCTAGTTCCTCTCCTCGCATTTTCATGTTGAACCTACTCAAAAAGGGCTTTGCCTCCTTTCATTCTTGTTAAAATCACCAATGACCTCCCAGTCGCTAAATCCAACAGTTAAGTCTCTGCCCTCACTTCCTGTTCAATCAGTATTATTTGACCCAGTTGATAATTCCTTCCCTCTTGAAACCCCTTCTTCCTTGACTCCAAGGACACCACCCATTCTTGATTTTCCTCCTAATCTCTCTAGCCAGTCTTAAGGGTTTCTTTTGCTGTTTCCTTCTCATCTCTCAAAACTTCAAAATGTTGAACTTCTCTGAGGCTCAGTTCTATAGAACTCTTCCCAGTAGGTCATCTCACCCAGTCTCATGGCTATAAAAGGATCTATATACTGGCAATTCCCAAATTTTTATCTCCAGCCCAGACCTTTTCCTTGAATTCCAAACTTATATACCCAATTGCCCACTCAACTCTTGTCAAAACTACTCTTGGCTACTTGTCCCTCAACCTTCCCCTCAGAATCATCCCCATCTCAACTTATGACAGCGTCATCCCTTCAGGCCAAAACCTTAAATTCATCATTGATTCCTCTTTTCCCATACCCTATATCCAACCCAAGAGCTATCTTGCCTCTACCTTCAAAATATACAGACTTTGAAAACTATTACCACCTCCTTGGTCCAAGACACCATCATCTTTCACCTAAATTATTGCAGTAGCCCCCCTAAGCAGCCTCCCCTCTTCCATCTTTGTCCCACTACAGTCTATTCTCTCAGCAGTCAAAGTGACCTTTTCAAAATCCAAGACAGAGCTGATTACTCCTTGGATAAAAGTCCTCCAGTGCCTTCCCATCATACTCAGAGAAAGAGCTGAAGCTCTTTACAATGGCCCACCAGGCTCTAAGCTGTTTAGGTCTGTCCCACTCTCAGACTTCATTCATCTCTTTCCCTCTCCCCAATGCTTAATCTGCTCCTGCCACACTGGCCTCTTATGGTACTTCAAAAACTCTGAACCAGTTTCCTTCTCAGGGGTCTTCTACTTGTTTTTCCCTGTGGCTGGAACATTCCTTTCCACTGAATAACTTCATGGCTCACTCCCTTAATATGTTTAGAAAAACCTACAGCCATTGCAAGATTAGAATACTAAAATAAGAACTAAAACTGTCATCAGAATTGTTTCCCTCCCCAAACTTTTACTTTGAGGATTCTCTTTCTTATACCAAGAATACCCTTTCCCTTCTCTCACACTATGCAATCTCACCCAGTCATCCAGGTCCAATAACGACTCACTGGCTGATGGAAACCTTCCCTAACCATCCCGCTTCCCAGTTCCCCCTTTCTTTTAATTCTCAGAATAGTTATCATTTTTCTCATTCA